TAAAAATATTGCTGTACTTACTATTCATTTTGAATCGACTTATTTAACTGGACGTCCTCAAATCGCATATACAGATGTGAATCATCGGTCTGAATCTTGACTTACTTGACAAAAATGGATATTAAAAAAGTGGTGTCGTTCGAAGCTTAGAATATGAAATTATGTTTGATTACTGAATTACTGAAATTCAAATTCTCTACATATATTCATACTCCAATATAGTTACATATTGATAATGAGACAGGAAATATCCTACATATCACCCATAAATGAATGTCAGATTCTTGAGATATTAGTCTTATATTCATCAGTTTTCTAAAGAAATTTGTTTTTAACTTCAGAATGTTGACGGTGAATTATCCTAAGTAATTTTGAATCTAAAAAAATTTGCTGATTTAGAAGAGTAAGGGAACCACAGATCAGCTAAAGCCAGGTTTTAAACTTAATCGATTCATGAAGTTGTTGATCTTATCCACGATATGATTTTTACACTGACTGATATGATCTAAAATACGCTTAAGATACTAATAAATTATATCTTAACATTTGGAGTTCGTAATTTTTGTTAGCAGAAACAGATTTTCAAGTTTTAATCTATTTAGATGCTTAAATCTTAGTGAAAATAAGAGTAAATGAAAACTTCTTAAATGATTTTAAAATATTGTCACCGAAATCGTTCTAATATTTCATAATTAGGGATCAATAATTCTGCAGTATGTGACTGAGGTACCTAAACATATGGAAATACCAATACTACGCCAGTTAACAAAATTTGAAGAAATTACTGACTCTGAAGTTAAACTTCGAGATTAAAAGGATATCACGACCACTTGATATAGTTTAAAGGTTAGAACTATTTGTCTATAATGCTGCTATGTTTTACTATTATAATTCAATGATCGTTTAAAAGGAACACTGATAAAAGTCTATATAAAAGAGTTGTTTAATATGATATACTTGTTCACATGCTTACGGAAACAATGTATGTCCATTATGAGTTACATGTGAATAAACCATTAGCCTTAACTGATAAATATTATTTTAGCTGAATATTTTCTGCTGTTAAGTTAGCAGATTAATATTATGAATCGTGATGCAAACTATTAAATTTCTCCGATCTCCACAAATCCTTGTACTAATCCCATCACTTGTAAAAGTATGCTGAACTTTAAATTGTCACAGGTGTGAGTATAGTGGTAAGACATATGCTTCAGCTCAGAAACTTTTGAAAGGCTACAGAAATTAAATTAACCTTTAACTTAACATTTAAACTGACCTTTTACCAAATTAACCATATGTAATTTCCTCCAAGGTCGGATTTCAAACTCCTTCAGGATTATGGGTGATGAGTTCTACGGGGAAACACCAGTTCCTTCATGATTGTCTAGAATTCTTGATGATCAGTATCAATTAAAGCCAAACTTAGGTTCGTAGCTTCCTAGTGACGATCATTATTATTTTATCGTTCAGTTTCGTAAATATAATACCGAAGCAGTTTGAACAAAATTAATAATTATACTGACAATCGTTTACACGCTCTTGTCGCCTTGATTAGCTGGACTGAGGTCTGTGGAACTTTTTCTACATATTTACTCATACAAACAGTGTTCGTTTAGATCGACAAAATCAATAACCACTGGTTCAAATAATGAAATAAACCTATTATTGTAACCGAAGAAGAATTGACGATAATTCGATGAGTGTAATTTTTTACGACGTCATCATTTACTGAGGCTACAAGTCGTATTCATAGTGATTTTAATAACATATTAGTCCATTAAAAGATAAATAGAGAAACAGCTTTGTGTTTACTAATACTTCTGGAAAGTACAAGTTGTTTGAACACTTTATCGCACGTTAGAAAGTTATTTAAATGTAATTCAAATAATAAACTCTAATTTATATCCTTATCTTTAAGCCACATAGATTACATCGATACTAATGATACTATCTGCCTGTACAAACTGAAGCAGGTAACGAGGAGTTCGAATCCCTCCCCGTTATTAGTTGAAAGACAAGTTCATTAATGACTAACCCAGTGCTCTGTAGAGGGGAAGCACTTAAAAAAGTATCTAACTATAAATAATCAAGAAACTATCTTATTCATTACTCACTCGTCTCCATAGCTTTCTATTGATTTTTTCATATATTATATTCTGATTTCTTTTTAACTAATTAGTTTTATGTTGGGTTCATGAACTAAGATAGTTATACTTGTGGTAAGTTCTTATCTCAAAATAAATTTTTTAGTCAGTGAAATAACTGATTATTATTGATCAAAAGTTTAAAGCTAGCATTAGAGGGAATTCATATTCTGTTTGCGTTGCGACTTAAGACATTCTATCTCATCTATAGTAATTGTGTAGTATTCATCCAGTGGTTTAAGTAGTAAATCACAGGCATTAACGATGTCAGTTTTCTAAAGGAACCATCGACCAAGGTCTCAATATTGTGAACGACTAATTCTTTCAATGTTAGTTGAAATCAGATCAATTCTGAGAACTTTAACTAGAAAATGTCAAGCTCATTAACATTACAAATTACATCACTTTCTGATACAGCTGAATACCTTCCACTTGGTCATTTATTATACCTACTTTTTCAGAGAAATTAATACAGTGATTTATACAACTCTGAATGGATAAGTTGGAATTTATGTAAGGTTTTACTAAAAACATATAAAATCATACTAGTCTACTCTTTTAGAGAAATATGAAGTTGTTGAAATTAGCTCAACACTTTAAGAGCAATATCTTCATATACTACACTGAATGTCTTAAAATTCAGCAATATTTGGAAACAAAATTCTATTCAATAATATGTGTAAGATTCATGAATGAACGGCAACAAGGTTTTATGGATTAAATGTATAAAATAGATTTCATTAAGTTATGTTAACTTATGATTAGTTAAGAATAAAACACTTAATACTATAAGTTCTATCACTTATTATATTTTTAAACCGTAAAGTTCTTCACAAAGCTATATCGGTTCATTCACAGAATAGGGTTTGAATAGTTTTTCATTGAATGATAACAGTTAATAACATTTCATAGATTTGAAATATACAAAAAACTTTGTCTGAATATTAGTACATATGATTTACTCTTGTTAACTGAAACCAATCTCGTCATGTCTTTTATTCGGAAATGTAGAAACTTAGTCATGCTGTAGTGAAGGAGAACATATGTGAGGGCAACCGAATTGTATTTATCTCAAATTACAGAGTTAATTGGTAAATTAGGAAAACCATATCGTAAATCGTTAACTTGCAAAATATCAATCCATCATATCGAACTGGACTGTTCCTGTTGCAAACATCAATCCATTGTCTGACATTTCTCTGTTCATGCGTTTCATACAAATCCCATTGTGTTCTCGCTCTTCCTTTCTTGATCTTCCCCCATCTTCTGCTGCCAGACATTACGTTTTTACTCGTGTCATATACTATTTATAAGTAGCGCGCACCACAATGCACCTGACCTGACTCACTATGTAAGTGAAATGCTCTGGAATTATCAGTATTTCCAATTTACCAATATTACACAGTAAACAATGGAACTATTTAACATTGATTGAACAGTCTATTTGCTTTCGTTTCTAGTCAATAATCTAAAGTATTACTATATCAAATTCATTATTTATTCCACCTGAATGAAATTTACGTAACGAAGGCAGAAAACATTTTATATATAAACAATGAAACAAGTTAACACTAAAGCTTCTCTAACTGAATTCAGTTCTTCGTAAAACAGTTCTCTAGTTAAGTAGTCTTTACAGATTATTTCGATTCCCGTCATGAATAAATAATTCATGGAAATAACTAACTGTCTCTTTTCATTTTTTAAAACTTCTCAATAGTAAAAACAATTGACGGCGCAAAAAATTCCGCATTCGATAATCAGATCTCACACTACATACATTATATGTAAAACATTGAAACAATTCATATACATTTTTTAGCTTCAGTTGATTTGTAATAAAACATGATCAAAACTATCCAATGCTTTGCTGCTTTGGTTTCGGTCAAATGACAACAGCTATCTTCTTATGTCGATTCAATTACCGTTTACTTTCAATTCTAAGTAAAAAAAACTATTGTTTTAATGAGCGATTATATAAATGAAGTTTGCGTCGGTTATCTTTCTCAAAATCCCTCTATTTATCTATGATTAACAACTATTTTGAATATATATATATGTTTAGTGAATTCATTACATGAACTATTCAGTAAATTATCAACAGTGATGAAATGCAACTCGTTCTAGCTACCTACCAGTCATATTGTATTCTTTTAAATCACTATTTAATTGTGATAAAAAGATATTATAGTCCATATGACTATCAAGTCAATTCTAAGAGTCCGAAGAAAAATATCGCATGGCTGTATCCGACTTCCCATTCATAAAATAAATTACTAATGAATATCAAATAAAAATTTAATTGTATTTCAATGAAACCTATTTACAATAGGAATGATAGAAAATAACCATTCAACTGAAATAAAATAAGAATTTTAAATATATATATATATATATATATATATATATATATATATATATATATATGTAGTCTAGTCCCAATCAAAGACAATATGCTCAAAACATATAACTACATGTATAAAATCTTGATGAAAATCAGATAATCACTAAAAGTTACACTGTCAAAAGAAGAGATTGAAAAATTTTTAAGAAAAATGGGAATAGAGAGAAAATCATAACGAGAAAAATACTGTTAAAATCGATTTACTTACAGCAATTGAAATTGATTCTAAAATGATATCATTGTAAACGAATTGTGAAGTGTTGAATAAAACTACTACTCGTAAACATATCAATAGTATAAGTAGTACTAGTATTCGTTTGAACTCTATAATAATCATCATCATGTTATATTGTTACATCACAATTGATGATGATAATAACAGTAATAATAATAATAATAATAATAATAACAGTTACAATAAGTTACATAAAATATAAAAATCGTCTACTGAAAAATTATATTTTTCCACCATTTACAGGATAATTATAGCGTAAATCAGTATCTCTGTTATTCTGATACTGAACATAATTCTGTGTATTCTTCATGATATCAGTGTGTGAGTTTAAAAGTGATCCATAGACACCTAATAAAAAATCCATAGATTCTTGAAATTTTCTTTCAGGATTTTTATTCAATTGTTTCTGTTCTGAATCATTCGTCATTAACATTAATTTTTTCATCATATTATTACTTGGTGAAGAAATATTGTTTCCATTTGTTGGTGATGTAAAGTGTTTATTTGTAGATAAACGATTAATTTGTGATTTTGGTGTAGTCCATGGATTAGAATTAGAACAATCTAATTTGAGATTATTTGAAAGCCATTGTTCATCAGTGAGTTTAGTGTCTGCTGTGTTGTGTAATAGTGGTGGATTAGGATAAGAATTTATCAATGGAAGTGGATATTGTCCATGAGCAGGAGAATATACTGATGACGTTGACAGATTAAACGTTGTCACTGGTGGCGATGATGATGATGAGGATGCTGATGCTGATGGTATAGATGGAGAATGGGACAAATGTTCCAAAACAGGATGATATTTATGTGCGTTGGATCGATGAATATTTAAACTGTCTAATATTGTTTCATAATTACTTGGTACATATGATCTATTATAATGTGAATTGTCATAGCCAGGATGATTGAAAGGATTAGAAGGAAAAGTTGATGCTAAAAATGAAGTTTGTTCAACTGGAATACGATTAAACAAATCTAAGAATGGCGGTGCATTATCAATTGATGAATGTAATGAATTAAAACAATTATTGTTGTTATTTGATATGAAATGGGATTTATTCATTATTGTAGGATGATTCTGATTCTGATGATGATGATGAAACATAGAAAGTGGATTTGATGAAAATTGTTCAATATTAGATGGGATTGAATAGTTTCTAGCTAATGATGCATAATAACTAGCTAAACGTAAATTAAACAATCGACTACGTTGTAATGAATTAGTTCGACGTCTTAACTTTCCAGTTGTTCCGCCAATATATACATCTTCACATGATGGATCAAGCATCCAATAATTACCTTTACCTGGATCATCATATGCACGTGGTACTTTAACAAAACATTTATTCAATGATAAATTATGCCTGATAGAATTTTGCCAACCTTGTTTATTGTTTTTATAATATGGAAAATTAGTTGTAATAAAATCATATATACCATTTAATGTTAAACGTTTTTCTGAACTATTTCTAATTGCCATCATAATTAAAGCATTATAACTGAATGGTGGTTTATCTGAGTCTGGATTCTCTTTTGTTTTATTCGATTTTGATGTTTGATCAGTAACAACACCGTTAACGTCATCTTCATCTTTTTCATTCTCTTTACTTTCTTCATCATCTTCGTTTGGTTCGTCGTCATCATAATCTCCACCTTCGTCATCATCATCACCTTCATCAGCATCAACATCATCGTCATGGTCGGCATTCTTGTCGTTACCGCCTTTCTCTTTATTTACTTCTAAATACTGTCGTTTATTTCCATGATTATTACCGACATTACGTTGACAGTTAGTTGCATGATCATACAGATTATCAGTGTTATTCTCATTTCTATCAATATGATCAGTCACTTTACGTTTCCTTTGTATCGGTGAACTACTCAATGGATTAGATGGTAATATCGAATCACACAGTGAATGATGCAATGATTTTGGAGTTGATGGGCTGATCGATTGAGAATCACTAGTTGACTGATAATTCATTGTATCTTCAGGTAATGTAAGATTAGTCATCATTGATGAATGAGTGATATTTTCATCATGTGGTAGTGTTGTTGTTGTTGACACAGTCGATAATTCAGACAATAAGGTGACAGTAGAATGGTCAACATGATTTGAATTCGAATAATGTTCCCATATATGATTCGATTCTGAATACTTGTGAAGATTATGTGTTTGATTACAATCTGATTGATAGTGATTACGCATTAAATTATGAAAAATATTATTCATTTCAAAGTTTTGTAAACTATTACTATGTTGTCTTTCTTTTAGCTGATGTTCAATGTTATTGAACGATGAATTTGTGGCAGTAGAACTGAACGGATCCAAAGATAATAGATTGCTTTGTATACTCTCATTGGTTTTATTATCGTCCGAATGATTTGTAGAATATTTCACTGTGGAATGTTTTAGTTCATCTGTTAAATTTAACATAGATTGTATACTGAAATTACTAATAAATTCATTCGATTCATTCTGTTGTTGTGAAGACATTCTGTGCATATTTTTATCTGAATAATGAAACCTTGAATGATTATCCAAACAATTTATAGACACATATATATAGACTCTGTACTTTCATTGAAAAAAAATTAAAAATTATTCATTTCGATATTTTCATTACCAATAAATACACGGAAGTCAGTACACTTTCGCTTCTATCGTGTGAAATTTTCATCCAACCAATAAGAATGAACAAAATAAAGAACAGGTTGAAATTGTTTGTTTGTTTGTGTTTGACAATAGTTTGTTGGTTAGGGTATAGACTTTTTCAACCTTTTCATAGAAAGACTCTAAAACGAAAATTAGAAAATAAACTATAGGGGTAGAGAAATAAGCATATTTTTAGATTATAAATACAGCAAAACAGTCACAGTTGCACAAAGATGATGATGATGGGGAGAAAGATGAAGTTTATTTTCGTGAAATATGCATTAACAAATATATAGATATATATGTATGTATATTCACATGATGTACACTCGTAACGATAGAAAGTCAACTATTAAATAAATCTGTCTGTATGAATATTATTATTAGTAATATTTTATTGGCTATTAGAGGAATATATTTTCTTCACTAATATTTCTCGTCTAAATGTCAAAACATTTATGTGGACAGAATGAAAAAAAAAATTGACTGATTTCTTCATAAAAAATGAAGACAGAAATTTTCATGAATGTAAACTGAACAATGTGTAAAAGAAAAGATACATCATGCGTAACTAAAAGTGAACATACATCAAATGTTTTGTTTCTAAAACAAAATTTAGAAAAAAAATAGAAAAAAAGGTTATCTGAAATATTTTGATGTGAATTTTTTCGGTTTTCCAATAAGTAATCAACTTAAACAATAGTACTAATCAATATGATAAAAAGATAGTTTAGGGGAAATATTTTTGTGAAGATTGATTTGATTTTTGCATAGTATTTGACGTCAATTGATGTACGATCAAGAACTAGGAAATATTTTCTTCTGCCTGTCAACGAGCGTTCACTATCTATCAAAGGATTGGACACATTACCTTAAGGTTTCATAGTAGACACCATTAAGTCGGTTTCTATAGAACGCATTTTCAATTTCAGTCAATCTGTGATAGTGCGATGATCACCCAACGTCCATAATTACAACGGTTTCCTTTCCAAAATTTCTGAACTTCACTATTGACAGCATTCTAGATAAACTTCAGAAAGCCATCTCAAAATAATTTACTAGTAAGTTAACTACTTCGTAGAGATTACTTTCACTTTGTAGTTGACGGTCGTTACTGATTGACTTCAATTAAAGTAGGATATTTTTAAAGATACTTGTCAAATGAAATTAATCTTCATTAAAGATTAGTGTAAATTGGAGAATCATCGAAGTCAGGAAGCGATACGAAACATTTTCATCATTTGTTTAACTATTCAGTATCATATAAACAGATTCCGCTTCACAAAGAATCGCAACGAGCATGTTCGTAACTTACAATGAGCCCGATTTTATTCAAACTACTTGGTCGGGACCGAATGACTTGCACTTCTGTTTACGATATAGCGCGAGCATCATCCTGTGCTTTTTATGATTTGTATCTTACTTCAAGATTCGATTCAACATAAGTGGTCACTTTCGAGACCTTTGTAACTAAACCCGGGGTATAAATCAACCAACAGCAACTTAGAACTCCGTATGTACTCACGGACACCAGTTCAAGTTGCCATACCACATTAGTACATAGATGCTATTGTCACTTCAAATCCCGTAGTAGTAGAGGTAGTAATCGGAGTGACTAGGGTTCGAAGATGTTATTCAAGAAGTATAATTCGGTAGGATAATTTTAGAGAGAGAAAGATAGAGATGGTGAGGAATTTAGAAGATTAGGATTTGAGAGAACACAGAATGAATGCAACTGCGCCATTGCAAACGGTTTTGATCCATGTCATTCAGGGTCTCTAACCATCGTTTACTGACATTCCGAGGACCCCAACCAGGCAGTCGACACCTAACAACATGACTCAGTTCACTTGTCAGTGACTTCATGGATGTCTGCTATGTTCAGGTTTGGCCGACTCTAGCTTTATTCCAACCTATTCCTAGATCGTAAAACAGCTCGATGCATAACATGTCCCAACCACCTCAACTGATGAAGTTTCACCACTTCATCTAATAATATCTACCTAGTATTCGTTTTATAATGACAACAATGCTTACTCGGTTGTCCCAGGATACACGTTTAGAAACCAACCAAAGATCTTTCTGATGAATGTTATCAATTAACAACAACGTATTCCTTTTAAGAATGTCCTAAATGTTCTCTGGCTTAAATTATAATGTATCAGTATTGATTATCATTTAATACTGACTGAAAATGTCAGTTTGATCAGATATGACAGTATGTAACTTTTGGATTTGCGTCAACTAAATAATAATCCCAACTTAACTCTTATGAGATCGGAGTCAAGATGTCTTACGTCCAAGTGGATTTCTACTTTGAATAATCAGTAAACGCTGAGAATTCGGTTTATCAAGTCAGTCAATCTATAAAATAAATGAAAAGCTATGCAAAATCCTTCAGAAGAATCGCTGTTGTACTCACACACATATGAGGTTACACTGATGCTGTCCAAACAACCATAAAAAGCACTGACAGGATGGGAATCTCATGGACTCAGGATCATCAAAGCATCCTTGAAAACAGAGGAAGAGGGGATCACAATGAATATCATTCAGTGATGTGCTACCACCAATGATAACAATGAGGATGTTAAAGATCAATTCTATGCGAAGATACAGTCAATAGTCGAGGAATACCTTACAAAGGATTTGTCCTTTCTGATGGGAGACATAAACGCCAAGGTTGAAATGGATGACATCGGATATGAAGGCATAATTGGGCGACATGGACTGGTAGAAAGTAAGGAAGGTAGTGTGAGATTCGCAAATCCATATGTCCTAAACGAAATGGTTATAGGGGACATCATATTTTTCACGAATGCATATGCAAAGAAAATGGGTTTCACTGAATCACACTGCACAGAACTGAACCGATCTCATCTGCATCAACAAAAGTTCAGAAGGACCATGGACGACGTGCGAAGGAAGAGAAGGACTGACATAGCTTCAGATTACCATATGGTGGTGATTTAGATGAAAATGAAACTGGAACGTATCTTCCAGTCATCGAAATCTCTCCATGAAACACATGGGCTAAAGGAACAGTTATTGTTAAGAAAGTTCTATCTGTTTATACTCTAAAGAACTTTCTTTTTTCCGTAAACCTCTGTGTAAATTTAAATCCAAGTAATCATGTATTTCTTAAGATGAACTATAATTTTATACAATTAAATATATAAACTAAAGAATAAATTGATATTTCTGTGATAAATTTGTTTCAGTATTATGATAGTACAACTGTTCACTGAACAGGTATCGCTCAGCAGGTGATGACTATTTTGATTCTTAGAAGTATGTAAATAATTTTATGCCTGAAACATAATATGATTAAAGTTATGATCATTAAGTAAACTCAATGATGCATAATATCACATGGTATGCATTGAATATTTGGGAGTAAATTCTACTGAACATTAGCAAAGATCAATTTCCCCGTTTCAATGTTCAGCAAATAAAATTTTGTAAAAAACAAAATACTGTTAATACTGTGCATGATTTTAATTAAAAGTTTACAACGGTTTCATAGAATTTATATTAAAATTCTAAATTACTCATATATATATATATATATAAGGGTATCATGTTTTAACTTAGCACGGTACTTCTTTAGCACAGATATGTATTCACTTCACAAATAAAGACAGTGATTTATTTGTTTCAATACACTTTCTCTGCGGTAATGTTTAATGCAAAACATTCAATATCTTTAACCATTTTTACGAAACCCATAAAAAATTAGACTTCTATATCCAATAAAATACTAGTGAATTAGAAAATTTCCGATTGGCAATCTGTGGAAAGTATAAATCAATACATTAAATTTATTATCTTGACTAAATACTAAAGATGTCGATCAGTACTTATTCATTTCGTAAAGTAAAATAAAACACTGACTTACTACATGTACTGATAACAAGTTTGTAAGATGCTATTAAAAGTCCAGTTCTGAATCAGTTGACATGATGGAACAGATATATAGCTTAGCTTGTACTGAATTTTATCAGATGGATGGTTTGATAATAAAGCTTTAATGATTATTCTGAAGAACCTCATCATAGTTTATTTCCAGTACAATGAAGCTGTTTGTATTCATTCCACGAAGACTAAACTAGGAAATTTTTATAACTTTGTCTATGAAGGATCGTATTTAAATGATACGTCAGCTTCATTTTTCATTGTATTTCTGTTGAATCCTCTGTTTAGTATACAGGAATTTGCTACAACAATACGTAGAATGTCTTTTCACAGTTAAAGAGAATGATTTTTAAAAATAAAATTTAACTTAATATGTGTAACTGCCACTAATGAAATAACTGTTTGGTAAAATTTAATTATTTCTTCCAAAAGATAATTTGTGAAGAAACGTTCAAGTTTCGAGTTTAACTTTCAAAAAATCTCTAAATGATCATCTAAATAAAAAAAAAGTAATCATGCTCTAACTAGTAATTAGATTTAAAATGAACTGCCTAAAGGTTTCTACGGTAGTTACAGCCTCATATAGGGTATTATTGTCGATAGTCAAACAGCTATGTGTCGTTGGCACTGGACAAGAATCCTGCTTTATTACAAATTAGCTACATTTGGAAACAATTAAAACACTGAATTCATAGTGGTTTCATACTCATAACAACTTGTGGTCTCGAAAACGTATGGGTTGGTTATATGTGTGTGTATTACTGGTCTAGTGATTCTTGATTTTTTAATGTCTAGTTGATTGATAATAATTCTTGTTTTCTTTATACAAGTTTAGTATTCAACATCATAGATGATATCAAATTCTCGACTCATCTACTGGTTACTGAATTTATTTAATAGATCAACTTACGATTTACATGTTTTGC